TTTAGCATGGTATCAGAGTAAGGAGCTTCCGCTTCAAACCTCGTTGAAACTTCTGCGAGCTCGCGCATGAAAGAGCTTGACAAGCTCATCAGTGGACGTGTCCAATAGAGCATCCAAATCAGCACCTCTGAAACTGAACTTCTTGAACATTTTCTTCTTTGGCTGCTCAGAAGGAACCTCTGTTTCCACCTCCATGGCTAGATATTAAGCAGCAAACATAACCCACAGGTCCTAGGTTGAGGCATAACCATAAAGTCTTAGAAGAACTGTAATCATGGCCGGAGATAATAGCAAAGCCAGCATATCTGGTGATGGGATGAACCAAAGAAAAACAATCTCTCCATACGACATAATATCTAATGATAATCCTAGAATTGTGATAACACATGTACAGTTAAAAGGCGACAACTATGATGAATGGGCTCGGTCTATGAGGACAGCCTTGAGAGCAAGAAAGAAGTTTGGTTTTATCGACGGAACAATCAAACAACCAGATGAGGAATCCCCAGATCTTGAAGATTGGTGGACCATTAACTCGCTGTTGGTTTCCTGGATTAGGAATACCATTGAGTCCACTCTTCGCTCAATCATATCGCATATGGAAGTGGCTCAAGATTTGTGGATAGATATTAGAGAATGTTTTTCAGTAGCCAATGGCTCAAGGATACAACAATTGAAGGCTGAACTTGCTAAATGTAAACAGAAGGGTTTGGCCATTGTGGACTACTATGGAAAATTGAAGAAATTATGGGAAGAACTTGGTAATTTTGACCAAATACCGACCTGCAAGCGTGGAAAGTGCACGTGTGATCTCGGGTCTGTTCTAGAAAAGAAACGAGAAGAAGAAAAGATGCACTTGTTTCTCATGGGATTGGATGAGACGATATATGGTACAGTGAGATCTAATATTCTTGCTCAAGACCCATTGCCAAGTCTAAACAGAGTTTACGCAACATTAGTGCAAGAAGAAAGAATGAAGATAATAGCTCGTGGAAAAGAAGAACGAAGTGATGTCATGGCTTTTGTAGTTCAAGGTACGGCTACCTACTGTGGTCGTAGCGAAGGAAAGGACAAGAACATGATCTGTTCTAATTGTAAGCGCACTAGCCATGAGTCAGATAATTGTTTCCAGCTTATTGGCTTTCCAGATTTGTGGGGTGATCGACCTCGTGGTGATGGGAAAATGGGCAATCGTGGTAGAGGACAACAGCAACAACAGAAAATCGGTACAGGTGGAGGCCGAGGACGTGGTGGTGCTTCGCGTGCCAATGTTGTCCAAACTGTAGGAGGAAGTTCTTTAGCAACATTAGCACCTGATGAAGAAAGAAAGGGGACTATTGGGCTGAATAATAAGCAGTGGCAAACCTTATTACAGATGTTGAACAATAAAAAGCCATATGTGAATGAGAAGATGACTGGTAAGCATATCGATATTCCTTGGATAATTGACCCAGAAACATCCAATCATATGACAGGTAATTTGAAAACTTTATATTACACATGAGAAATTGCAAGATGTCCCGTTGGACTACTAGATAGAAGCAGTACTGCAGCTATTAGAGAGGGTTCAGTCAAACTTGATGAGAATATTTCTCTAAAAAATGTTCTTTATGTGACTGGTTTAATTACAATTTAATTTCTGTGTCGCAATTGATTGATTCTTCAAATTGCGTTGTTCTATTCATTAACAACTTATGTGTCATTCAGGACCGCACTTTGAAGATGATGATTGGTATGGGTGAACTAAGAGATGGACTCTATTATTTCCAGAACATATCGCGCATAAAAGCCATGAAGGTGGAAGGTGTGAACTCTCTCGATCTTTGGCACAAGAGATTGGGTCATCCTTCTCTGAAAGTGACTAAGTTAATTCTAAGAGTAGATTTTAGCAATGGAAGTGATATTCTGAATAAAAGCTGTGATGTATGTCAACGCGCAAAACAAACAAGAAATACATTTCCTCTCAATGATCATAGAGCTTCTGATGTTTTTGAACTGATTCATTGTGATTTATGGGGCCCATATAGAACTCCCTTCTCTTATGGTGCTTCATATTTCTTAATTATAGTTGATGATTATTCTCATGGTGTATGGATATTTTTGCTATTAGATAAGAAAGAAATGCTCTAAACTCTGAAGAATTTTTTTTCTATAGTTGCAAGATAGTTCAACAAACAAGTTAAAATTGTGAAAAGTGATAATGGAACAGAGTTCATTTGCTTGAAAAACTACTTTCTTGAATATGGCATCATTTTCCAAACCTCTTGTACTGGAAAGCCACAACAAAATGGAAGAGTAGAACGGAAACATCATCACATATTAAATGTAGCACGTGCTTTGCATTTTCAGGGTCACCTTCCAATTGATTTTTGGGGAGAATGCATTTTAACGGCTGGGTATTTGATTAATCGCATTCCATCCTTCATTCTAAATGGTCTATGAGCACCTGAGAATATTTGGATCCTTATGTTATGCACACAATTAAGGAAATATGACAGATAAGTTTCCAAGTCGAAGTCGACGATGCATCTTGGTGGGATACCTTTATGGGAAGAAGAGATGGAAGTTGTATGATTTAGAAACTTAAAAGTACATTATTTCACGCGACGTTGATTTTTATGAGAACGAGTTCCCTTTTGCCTCTACAGTTTTGAGTTCGAATAATGATATTGAAAAATAGATTTCTATGAATACTGCATTTGATGATGATGATGAGGTTGTAGCAAGGGGGGGCATAGCAGAATCAGTTTAACCTACACTCACTCATGAACAAGAGCAAACATCGCAAGAGAATAGGACTGATACAGTAACTCAAATAGTCTCAGTTGAAGACGCAGGACGGGAGGAATGCGTAGACATTGTCAAAAGCAATCGTCAGTTCGTCTGGGTGATTTTGTTACTCATACAATCCAAAAATTGAGTCCATCTTGTCTTTCATCCAAACCGCAGCATCTTTCAGGTACACCCTATCCTATAGCACACTATGTGAGTTGTGAAAAAATTTCCTTGCGACATAGAAATTTTGGCTACAGACCATCAACCATTAACCTTCTTCGAAGCTGTGAAAGATGAGCGATGGAGAAATGTTATGCAATGTGAAATTCAAGCCTTGGAGAATAATGGAACATGGGTGATTGAAAACTTGCCTCCTACTAAAAAAGCTCTTGGATGTAAATGGGTTTACAAAATTAAACATAACTCTGATGGCACTATCGAACGCTACAAAGCTCGTCTAGTGATCTTTGGAAACCATCAACTTGAAGGGATTGACTACACTGATACTTTTTCTCCAATAGCCAAGATGGTGACTGTACGAGTTTTTTTAGCTATTGCATCTGTAAAGAACTGGGAGTTGCATCATATGGATGTTCATAACGCTTTTCTTCCTCTAGTACCCTTTGTTCACAATACCCGATGATCTAGCGGGTTCCATTTCTGGTTCTTCCGCAGTCTTTCCGGCGACTTTCTGGCGAGCTTGTCAATTAGTTCAACCCGTAAAACTAATTCAACCCACAAAGTTGCTTATCTATGTCTGCCGCTGCTTCACTATCCCCTAATTTCTGATTTTATATTGTAATTAACATTGTCTAATTTGAACCCCTTTTTTTTGTCTTATACACGGATACACGATATATATATATATATATATATGTGTGTGTGTGTGTGTGTGTGTACATATATATATATATATATGTATTGAAGCATGAAGAAAGCAATTCAAATATGTTAAAATGGAAGGCTGAATTTCATTGGGGTTTATTTGTCAATTAATTGTCAAAAGGCACAAGCCTTTTTAACCCATTAACCCCTCATGGGCCTATTGGAGACTGTGTGAGAATTGAATGGCCAAACGAGTGTTGCTTATGATTTTTTTTTTTTTTTTTTTCATTCTTCCTATTTTATTCTTGTTTAATTCTTAAAATATTAATTATTTTTATATATTTAATATGTAACGAAACAAACTTTTCTCCAGTTTTTATCACAATATATTTATATTTTATTATCGTCCCGAGTTAAATGCATATTCTAAAATTCACCATAAGTTATAAGTTCTTTATGCTTTCTGATGAAATCAATGGATGAGGAGAGTTTCTCATTTTTGTATTCATCAAATGAGTAGAAGACTGTTTTGATTAACTTTTTCTTTTTTTTTTTGTTGTCGAAAACTATTAGTGATATATATATATATACCATTTATCTCTTTATTTCTTTGATATATTATTATTGTGATTTGGAAAATAATTCTATTTTAATTAAAAAAAAAAAAAGTGTCCAATAAAAAACACTAAAGAGAATCAGGGAATAAGAATTTTGAGAAGATTAATGAAATAGGAGAGTGTTTTGACAAGAGAGTTCTAAAATGGTGATTTAAGATATTTTATTTTGGAGGTTTCAATGGTAGAATGGTAACACAAGATTAAAACAAAATTTTTTAAAAAAATAATTATAATTTTAAATATTTTTATAAGTTTTATTAAAAACAAAATTAGATGTAATCTAATGCATCCGTAATTAACTAATTATTTGGATTGGAAATCAAAATACGTGAAAGAGAAAATTATTACAAGAAAAAAAGTAAATTATTGCAAAAAAAATTGTCATAGATTAACTGATTTGAACTTCTATGTTAGAAAATAAAAAGAAATTGAGTATTTAAGAGAAGTAAAAAAAAATTAGAAAGAAATCATAATAAAAAATATTAAGGACCAAACTATAATAAGTATTATACTTTTTAAGTAATTATTTAATAATTTGTCATTTGTTTCTTTCTTGTTTTATATGTTTTCTGTTTTTTTTAATTGTTTTTAATAAAATAAAAATATACAATAAAAATTAAAAAATATATATATAAATATTAACATTCTTGGTCATTGTCGTTAATGACAAACACGACATAATTAGAGTATGACAAAAATATTAGATGAACACTTTATGAGTTAAAATATAAAGTGCTTGAGACAACACCAAATAACTTGCAATATTATATTAATGATAAAATTATGTTGTAAATATATAATTTAGTTAGATGCAATACTACCATTATCACCCACATAATCGATAGTTGTAAATAAATATATACATATATGTTATAGTTCAATGGCGCATTAATTTCTCCTTAATTCTTGTTGGTGCTTCATATCCCATAAATTTATTAAGGAAAGGAAGTAATATTAAATATCATATATATTACAACTTAATCATGCATTAATTTGCATTGGTTTAATTTTTCATATGTTTTCTTTATTTTCTTTTGATGGTTTAAAGTCGTACGATATTATATCCCACCAAATATCTTTCTTCCTTTTTTTTTTTTTTTTTTTTTTTTAATTTTTCTAAGGGGCGTAACCACCACCATAACCACCTCCTGCACCACCGCCGCCACCACTACCATATCCAACTTCATGTCCATATCCGCCACCGCCTCCACCACCAGATCCACCGCCCCCACCACCACCATAGGGGCCTCCACCACCACCATAAGGACCTCCACCAGCACCAGCACCAGCACCTTCACCATATCCTCCACCACTACCATATCCACCTCCATGTCCTGCTCCAGGTCCATACCCTGCTCCCCCACCTCCACCACCACCACTTCCTCCTCCTCCACCTCCTCCATGTCCAATGCCACCGCCACCATATCCACCTCCGGAACCACCTCCTTGCCCCGCACCATAACCACCGGCATGGCCACCGCCAGCTCCACCAGCATAACCACCACCAGCACCTCCTCCACTTCCCCCACCACCACCACCACTATGTTCTCCACCACCACCACCACCATATCCTGAACCGGCACCTCCACCTGCCCCATATCCGACATCCCCACCTCCAATTCCACCTCCACCACCACCTCCTTTACCACCTCCACCACCACCACCATGTCCAGCTACACCTCCATATCCAGCGCCACCACCTTCTCCACCACCAGCACCACCTCCATAACCACCAGCACCATGGTCTCCTACACCTGCATATCCACCACCACCACCTCCACCTTTGCCTCCTCCGCCACCATAACCTCCAATACCACCAGCACCAGCACCGTATCCTTCTCCTGCACCACCGCCATGTCCAACTCCATAGCCAGCTCCTTCATAAGTGAGGAGAACTCGTTTGCTATAACTCAAAGTTAAACATAAAAATACAGAGAAAATGAGACCGTATACTTTGTAGGTTCCCATGGTTGGAAGTATGGATTAAACTGGTTAGGGGAGGGAGGGTATTTATAAGGATGGGATTGAGATACAAAAGCGCGTTAAATTTGGTGAAAAGAGATCAAAGTGGGATGAGGAACAACAAAATCCCATTTGTTGGTTTCAACGTATGAACGGAGAGCGCCCGCACAAGTAGCATGAACTCACATGCACTTACACTCACTCACTCAGTACACCCACTAGTGTGTTCTTGCTGTCCCCCACATTTGATGATAGATTTATTTATATATATATATATATATTTAGATACAATATGCGTTTTATATATGTAT